TCGAAACTTATCTAGTTATTTAAAAATTGCAAACGTTGTTTTCCATATGTATCAATTGAAAGAAGAAAAAGCCTATAGAATTGTAATAAGAAACCTACACTATACCACTGACATCGACACTATCAAATCGGAATTAGCAAAGCAAGGTCACACAGTTAGGAACGTTACAAACATCAGGCATAAAATATCAAAACAACCTTTGAATATGTTCTTCGTCGATCTCGAACCAGCAAACAACAACAACAAAATCTATGATATTTATAAAATATCAAACAACATAGTCCGAATTGAACCTCCGAAACAAAATAATAACATCATACAGTGCACACGCTGCCAATTATATAATCATACCCAGCGATATTGCAACAGACCATATGCCTGTTTAAAGTGCGGAGATGACCACAATACTAAAATCTGCCCCAAAGATCCCAAAACTCCAGCGTGCTGCTGTCTCTGCGGAGGGGCCCACACTGCTAATTATCGCGGTTGCAAATACTACGAAGAAATAAATGACCAAAGAAATAATTTCCTCAATAGTAAGTCAACCGAAAATACGAGATACAAAACAACACTCCATAACATAAACAAACAAGACAAACCTCATACATTTCCTCCAACATTCAAATGAAGAAACCCCGACTTATCATACGCAAACATAACAAGAAATTCTTTTACAAATTTCAATAACCCTATTACGGACTCAGAACCTGTATCCCTTTCCTCATTCCTTCAAGAATTCAAATCCTTATTTAATCAACTTATGCAACAAAACAGCATGGTCCTCAATATGTTAGTTTCACTCATGAATAAATTGAACAATGGTAAAGGTAATTAAAATAGCACAATGGAATGCCAACGGCTTAATACCACATAAAAACGAATTAGAATGTTTTCTAAAATTAAATCATGTAGATATTATTTTAATTTCTGAATCACACTTTACAGATAAATCATTTTTCAAAATTCACGAATATACCACTTACAATGCTAATCACCCAAGTGGAAAAGCTCGAGGTGGCTCGGCGATTCTAGTAAAAAATAACTTAAACCACTATGCTCTTCCAAATATTGAAGAAGAATTTATTCAAGCAACGCAAATTGCGATTGTAACCAATCTTTATGATCTTCATGTATCTGCAATATACTGTCCACCAAAATTCAAAATTTCGTCTTCAGAGTATACATCATTTTTCTCTCAATTTGGATCTAAATTTATTATTGGAGGGGATTTCAATTGTAAGCATTCTGCATGGGGTTTAGGTTTAACTACTGGTAAAGGCAAAGAACTTTATACAGCATTAGAACAAAACAACTTATCTTACATATCAACAGACAGTCCCACATATTGGCCCTCAGATTCAAGTAAATTCCCTGATCTCTTAGATTTTTTTATCTTTAAAGGTATTTCCAAATTTCAAATGAATATTGAACCAAGCTATGACTTATTGTCTGATCATTCCCCAATCCTATTAACATTTAGTACGCTACCGATTCCTGTCCATTCCATTCAATTTTACATAATAAATTCTCTGACAGGGTCCATTACAAAAAAATTCTCAACTCTAGAACACTTTCAATTATAAGGCCAAAGAACACGACCGAAATAGAAACTCAACTACAATTTTTTACAGAAATCTTATGCACAACAACAGAACGAATCACTCCGACCCCAAAGGCAACAAAAGAAAAAATAACAATTCCTATTGAGATCAAAAATTTATTAATAGCAAAAAGAAAAGCGAGACGCACTTGGCATCAGTCGCATAAGCCTTCAGATAAGACTTCTTTCAACCACCTCAATAATATCTTGAGGAAAAAAATGAAGGAATGGAAAAATCTCTCATTCAAATCCTATCTGATGGAACTTAATAGATTCGACAACTCAATTTGGCAACCTATTAAACGAAAGGGCAAACCACCTCAAATAAATTATCCTTTAAAGATACCACATCAAAACAGCTTTAAATGGGCGAAGAGTACAAAAGAAAAAGCGGAAGCATTTGCTGATCACCTGAGAATCACTCTCAGTGCTCAAAACATAAGTCCAAATTTAGAAATAGAACAACTACTACAATCTAATATCCAATCATCCTCAATAAGACATTTTTCACCCAATGATGTTTTTCAAGAAATTAAGAATTTAAAAAATAAGTCTGCTCCAGGATTAGATGAAATAACGCCAAGAATGCTAAAAGAGTTGCCCATGAAATCAGTTTTATTTTTAACTAATATCTATAACTCTATATTACAATTTAATTACTGGCCTACTGCTTGGAAGACAGCCGAAATTATTATGATAGCGAAATCAAACAAGGACCCTCACTTCACTTCTTCATATCGACCAATCAGCCTTTTACCAATTCTTTCTGAACTAATGGAAAAACTTATACATCGCAGATTGCTCGAAGATTATCCCCATACAAACTGGCTACCGAACCATCAGTTCGGCTTTAGAAGAGAACATTCCACTACACAACAGTGCAACAGGATCGTGTCTTACAGTCTTAAATAAAAAGGAACCTTAAATAAAAAGGAACACCGTGTGTCTGTATTTTCAGATGTTAGCAAGGCGTTTGACAAGGTGTGGCATTCCGGACTTTTATACAAAATCTTTTTTACATTTCCTTCTTACTTCAAAATCCTAAAATCATTCCTACACAACAGAAAATTTTGTGTAAAAATAAAAGGAGAGACCTCTGCCATCAGAAATATAGAATGCGGTGTACCACAGGGCAGTGTGCTAAGCCCATTATTATACCTCCTGTATACGCATGATATGCCTACTGATGAGTTAGTAACTATCAGTACATTTGCTGATGACATAGCTTTAATATCAAAACATAAAGATATTTTATTAGCTAATTTACAGGTCCAAAAATACTTACTAACACTTCAAGAATGGTTTGCAAAATGGAATATTACAATCAATACCGATAAATCCCAACATCTCATTATTTCCTTAAAACATTATAACAATCCAACTCTTTATTTAAATAACAAAATAATACCTTCCTCCAATAGTGTGAAATACCTCGGACTACATATTGACTCAAAACTAAATTGGAAAACCCACATTGAATATAAGAAAAAACAAATTCAAATAAAAATCAAGGAGCTGTATTGGCTTCTGTATTCCTATTTGGACTTACGGTATAGAACTGTGGGGTTGCGCATGTAATTCCAACATCAAAATTATACAAACATGCCAAATAAAATTTTAAGAATCCTCACTGACGCACCGTGGTATATATCCAACTACAGCCTCCACAAAGACCTGAATATTCCAACCGTTGCAGAATACATAAAATCAAGAAGCATATCCCACATCAAGAAATTAGAACTCCACACAAATCCCATCATCAAATCTCTGCCCAATCCAACAAGAAAACTGAAGAAGAAATGGCCCGATGACCTTCCTCATCTATCATCATAGAAGCATTCATCACTATTATTTCAATATTTTTATAATTTTATTTTGTTATTATTCTGTTTATTATTTACATTTATATTTTTGTATTTAGGTTTAAGTTTTTTTTTGTTTTTTTATATACTCAACAATTTTGTATTATAAAACTTGTATAAAGTTTTGATTGACAAAAAAAAAAAAAAAAGTTTTGCAGATTCTTTTTGGATTCTGGATTTTGTGTATAATTGTAAATAATATTACTGAGCATATACAAATTTTTCAAATTTCTGCGTGGAGAGATAAAAAATAAATTAAGTATTTCTTCTTTGACCTGCTTTTTGAAAAGTTTCAAGTAGCATTCGATGAATTAAAGTAAATTTAATAAAAATTATATATGAAAAGCAGGGCGAGGTACAAAGGTCCAATTTGACTTTAATATTAATAATATAATAATGAAACCAATTATATCACAACAAAGAACACATTTCAAATGAACAATTACCTGACTACGTTCAGTAAAACTGCCAGCTGCTTCATCATTGTAGAAATGTGCTTTTTTGCTGTTTTCCATGGCTTTTCCCCAAAAAATTTTTTCCCCAAAATTTCTTTTCCCAAAATTTCTTTCCCCATTTTTTTTTCAAAAAACTTTTTCACTAAATTTTTTTTCCAAAATTTTTTCCCCAGAATTTTTTTCCGAAAAATTTTATTCCAAGAAATTTTTTTCCCCAAAAATTTTCTCCAAAAAACCAGACTTTATAGTTTGAGTGATGACTAATATAAGTAGTAAAAATAGAAAAGATGAACCTGATTTGAATAAATTTGAATAAATGAAATGAGGACAAAATATACGCTTATAAAATATATTTTCATCAGAATTACAAACATGTTGTTAAAAAAATATAAAATAAAAAAATCAAGCGCGCAAGGTACGCACGTACTTGCGAGCCGGGACTATGACTATAATTATAAAAACTATATTTCTCAAATCAAACGCTGAATTTGAAGGCCGTGCCGTAAAAAATTTGTTTAAAGTTTGCATATGCATATGGCGATAGATGGCGCGTCGGCGACTTGGCAAGTCATCTTTCGCACGCTTCGAAATATTGCGAGCTCGACTACGAAACATCGACCCAACAGCTATTTCGTTGCACTCGAGTTGCACAACTCCGCTGCCAAATGTATAGTTCAAGTGAGAATCGATCACTTTTGTTAGGCCTTCCGTTCGCACCATGCCTCGAGATCCGCTGGAGCAAAAGTTGATTCGGTGGTCTCATCTTGACTTTTCTGGATTGCGGGAGATAACGGTGTGGTGCCTCTATCTTCCCCCGTTGTCTGCGGCTATTGCAGCAGGGGGTTGTCAGTTTTGTGTGCTGTGTGTTGCATGTTGCATGGTGTGTTGAGTATGTGTGAGATACTATCGCGTTCGTCGACTTTGGAAGACCGGGTCCGGGGTCGACTAGCGATCACAGCGTGAATTGGGAGATCGCGGCATATGCCGGACTTCGGAAAACCGGATTTCAAAGTCTTTGTCTATCTCAGAGTGAATCGATCCCCCTTTAGTCTTTTCATCACCCCTCTTTCCTCCCCCTCGAGGCTGACACCTTATCGTGGTGAGGGGGTCCAGTTGGGCGATAACCGTCCAATTGCTAAGAGCAGTCGCCGCCTATTACTAACTTCTATATAATCTCCTTCCACCACTTATGAAAGGTAATCCATATTGTTGTACATGGAAATACAAGTTTTTAAATTTAATTTTAAACTCTTAAATATAGAATGCATGTGCCTTTGCGGGTATTAAAACATCGGTCACCAAATTTTTTTCGAAAACAATTTTTTCCCCAAAATTTTTTTCCAAGAAATTTTTTTCCCAAAATTTATTTCAAAAAAAAAATTTCTTCAATTTATTTTGTCCAAAAAATTCAAGACTATCCATGGTTTTTCCCCAATTTTTTTTTCAGAAATTTTTTTTTCTCCTATCTATTACAAACATTTTAATAAGTCACATTTATATTTTTTACAATTTCAGATGACAAAACAAAAATAGCTGTGCGATTACCTGATGGAACAAGAGAAACTTAAGAATAGCCTTGCTCGACTAAAATTAAGGTGAATATTATAAATTATAAATTAAAAATGAAAAATTAAACCTTGGATTTATTAATAAAGTAACTATATTCTGTTTCAATTTCCAGGCTTTAAAATTACACATAGAACACAAGTACTAATCCATAACTAAAGACTTTTACAAGATTCATACAACGTTTCCAAAACAAGACATAAGTACTGCAGCTTATGAAACAAAATCTCTCATCGAAGCTTAGTTACATCCGACCTCAATAGTTTATATTTATTTCGAAGACGAATAAATTTGAGTTAAGAATAGGATTGATTTCTATGTGTGGTATTTTAGTTAATTAATGGTTGTATATGAAAATCTCGATTTTATTTATTATATATAATATAGAATGTGCAGAAGATTTAATTATTTTTAATTTAATTATTATTAATTGTTTTTAATTTAATTATTTTTTACAGCAAATTTTTGGACAAAGTCTCAACTGTAGAACAATTTTCTTTTTTTTCCCAAAATTTAATAAAATTGAATTGAGTGAAAAATGTAGGTTTTTTGACATGTTTGAACCAACCTTGTACAAGTTTTTACCGATAGATGGCTACTTATAAGTTATAATCTTTTTTCCATTTATAACTCTTGCTGTGCAGTACTGCTGATAAGTTATATATTTTTTACTTATAACGCACGCTGTGCATTACTGCTTGGACAATTAATAATTAAATCCCTTTCATTGGTTCTACACCCCGGGTGACTCACTCGCCCTGAGATCCAAGAGAATTCACACATTCTGTGGGCGATCCTCTCAATTACATTTTAGCTTTTTAGCTTCTTAGCCTTTGATTTTTTAAGTTTTTTTATTGTATTTTTGAGCTTTTTTCAAAGCTTTTAGCCTTTGATTTTTTAAGTTCTTTTGTTCGGTTGTGTTTTTGAGCATTTTTTAAAACTTTTAGCCTTTGATTTTTTAAGTTTTTTTGATTGGTTGTATTTTTGAGCTTTTTTCAAAGCTCTTAGCCTTTGCTTTTTAATTTTTTTGGTTGGTTGTATTTTTGAGCTTTTTTCAAAGCTTTTAGCCGTTGATGTTTTATTTTTTTTGGTTGTAGTTTTGAGCTTTTTTTCAAAGCTTTTAGACGTTGATTTTTTAAGTTTTTTGGTTGTATTTTTGAGCTTTTTTCAAAGCTTTTAGCTTTTGATTTTTTAAGTTTTTTGGTTGTATTTTTGAGCTTTTTTTGTCCAAAATTTTTTTTGTTTAAAAATTTTTTTTGGTCCAAATTTTTTTGTCCAAAGTTATTTTGTCCAAATTTTTTGCCCAAATTTTTTGTCCAATTTTTTGGCCAATTTTTTTTGTCCAAAATTTTTTTCCCCAAAATTTTTTGACAAAAATTTTTAGTGGAATTTTTTTTTGGCGAATTATATTTTTCTTGAAAATTTTTTTGTCAAATTTTTTTTCCAAAAAATTTTTTGTCGAAATTTTGTCTAAAAATTATTTTTTTTGTCGGAATTTCTTTCCAAAAATTTTTTTTGTCGAATTTTTTTTTCAAAAATTTTTTAATCTAAATTTTTTTTTTAATTTTTCAAAAAATTTGTTTTCCAAAATTTTTTTCCAAAAAATTTTTTGGCAAATTTTTTCTCAAAATTTTTTTGTCGAAAATTTTTTCCAAAAAATTTTTTCGTCTTTTAGCTTTTAGCTTTTTGCCTTTTAAGGTTTTTTAGTTGGTTATTTTTTTGAGTTTATTTCAAAGCTATTAGCCTTTGATTTTTTAAGATTTTTTGGTTGTATTTTTGAGCTTTTTTTTCAGATTTCTTTTTGACAAATTTTTTTTCCAAAAATTTATTTTGTCGAATTTTTTTTTTCGAAAAATTTTTTGTCAAAAATTTTTTTGTCGAATTATTTTTCTTGGAATTTTTTTTCAAAATTTTTTTTTGTCGAAATTTTTTTTTCAAAAAGTTTTTTTTTCTAATTTTTTTTTTCAAAATTTTTTATTTCCAGATTTTTTTTTCCAAAAAATTTTTTGTCGAAATTTTTTTTGTCAAAATTTTTTTTTCGAAAAATTTTGTCAGAAATTTTTTTTTCGAAAAATTTTTTTGTCAAAATTTTTTGGCCAATTTTTTTGTCCAAAATTTTTTTCCCCAAAATTTTTTGACAAAAATTTTTAGTGGAATTTTTTTTTGTCGAATTATATTTTTCTTGAAAATTTTTTTGTCGAAATTTTTTTCCAAAATTTTTTTTTTCCAAATTTTTTTTTCCAAAAAATTTTTTGGCGAAATTTTGTCTAAAAAATTTTTAGTGGAAATTTTTTTTGTCGAATTATATTTTTCTTGAAAATTTTTTTGTAGAAATTTTTTTCCAAAAAATTTTTTTGTCGAAATTTTTTTCCAAAAAATTTTTTTGCCGAAATTTTTTTTTCAAAAATTTTTTTTCTAAATTTTTTTCCAGAACTTTTTTTTTTTTTAATTTTCAAAAAATTTTTTTTCCAAAATTTTTTTCCAAAAAAATTTTTTTGGCGAATTATTTTTCTTGTAAATTTTTTTGTCAAAATTTTTTTTGTCGAAATTTTTTGTGAAAATTTTTTGACAATTTCTTTTTCCGAAAAAAATTTTTGTCGAATTTTTTTTTCCAAAAAAATGTTTTTCTACATTTTTTCAAAAAAATTTTTTGTCGAATTTTTTTTTCAAGGAATTTTTTGTCAAAATTTTTTTTGTCAAAATTTTTTTCCAAAAAATTTTTTTGTCTTTTAGCTTTTTGCCTTTTAAGGTTTTTTCGTTGGTTATTTTTTTGAGCTTTTTTCAAAGCTATTAGCCTTTGATTTTTAAGTTTTTTTGGTTGTATTTTTGAGCTTTTTTTAAAGCTTTTAGACGTTGATTTTTTAAGTTTTTTGGTTGTATTTTTGAGCATTTTTCAAAGCTTTTAGCTTTTGATTTTTTAAGTTTTTTGGTTGTATTTTTAAGCTTTTTTTGTCCAAAAGTTTTTTGTTTAAAAATTTTTTTGGTCCAAATTTTTTTGTCCAAAGTTATTTTGACCAAATTTTTTGTCCAATTTTTTTGCCCAATTTTTTTTGTCCAAAATTTTTTGACAAAAATTTTTGACAAAAATTTTCAGTGTACATTTTTTTTGTCGAATTATATTTTTCTTGAAAATTTTTTGTCAAAATTTTTTTTTTCGAATTTTTTTTTCAAAAAATTTTTTGACAATTTCTTTTTCCGAAAAAAATTTTTGTCGAATTTTTTTTTCCAAAAAAATGTTTTTCTACATTTTTTCAAAAAATTTTTTTGTCGAATTTTTTTT